CTGTGGATCATGTAGGCTGGCCAGAGCATCAGCTCTGATCTGCTGCGTTCGAGAGCCCTGCTCAACTGGGGTGACATTGCACCTCTGCAGGCCAGCAGTCCCTGAGGCTGTTTCTAGCACCTCTCACCAGCACGTGTTAATTTTTAGATGAATAAAGAGCTGGATTGTCAATACTTATCAGTAGGCAGAGCTGCAAAGGCCAGCCTTACAGTGAGCTTCTGTTGGTTGCATCTACATCACAGGTCTGGAGCCTGAATCAGGATTTTTTTAACATTATGCCACAAGGCAAGCAGATATAAGATGTTTTTTTCTGTGTAATTAAGTGCCTGGCACCCCCTGCAAGTGGGGTGTCCCTCTACAAAACTCCCACATACAGTCACAGTTTGACACACTTACCTGCCACGGGAATTTTCCCAATCTGTTCTTGGAGGGCGTTCGTGCGTTAATGTTTGAGTCTGCCAATGACTTGCAGCATACAGCAGACCTGTTTTACCCCATGATCCTCACCAAAAAAAGCAAGCCCAAGCTTAAAACGCTTTCGGGATGAAATGGATCTGCACCCATGAAAGCTTAAGGTTGGTTCAAATCTGCAAAGTTGGTGTGCTAAAGACACGTCAAACACGTGCGCACATCAAAATTCCCGTGGTCTCCTCCCCCAGCTAAGTTGATGCTGGCAATGAAAGTGCCTTCCTGCTCTCTCCCACGCGACACACATCACCTGCGAGCTCTGCCCCACTCGTTTCTTATAAACTTGAAAGGTACTTTTGTAGTCCTGGGGTTTAGTAATTTTGTAATCTGTTTGTGGGCGTCAGAGTTTCCGTGTCTGTCTAACGCCGCAGCCTCACAGAGGTTTGTGGAACGCTACTCCGTGTGTGATCTTGCTAGCTTGCTGCTTTTTTTTCTTATTGCTCTTTTTTTTTTTCTTTCCCAATAGCAGTTGTATGTTGTAAACACCAGAGCTGTGGCTGATAAACTTTATAAGAGGAGACTTGTGTTAGTGTGTTTTATATTGACTGCTGGTTTGTTAAATACTGACGGGATAATTTCACGTGTTTCTGTTACACTCTGCATAAATCAGCCGTTCTGTGCCACTGCGTGCTGCTCAGGGTATGTGAACTCAAAACAGATGTTACCTTCCGAGGCTGGTGTTGTGCCTCTCTTCGTTATCTGGCATCGATAATGTTGGGGGATTACGTTCTGTCCTGGCAGGCTGGTGCTTGGACTCATCCCACATGCGTTCCAGCTCTACCTTGGCCAGCTCTGCTCTTTGGGAAAAATACACATTCGTTAGCTTCACACTAATTAACGCAAGGGGAGACCTTAAGGAGGGGAAAGCAGTCTGTGGCTTTTCCACAGAATGATGAATTGAGGCGAAGCAGGGAGAGGAAGTTGAGGAGTTGCCTTCAGCTGAAACTTGGAGTTTTCCCTCATGATTGTTTTCTTCCACCTCTTTTTCTGCCCAGCGCTGAAGAGCTCTGGGCATCGTAAGATGGGTTTGCTGACTGTATGACTCTCGGTCAGGAAGCGATTAGTACCAATGGCTGCATCTTTCCTGATTTGCCCTCCTAGGGAATGACTCCACATCTCAAAATTACTGAGGGATTATGGAGCAATTGTCCACTACTAGGAGGTTTTGCTGGTTGGGCTGCTGTGAACCAGAGGCAGAGTCAGTGTGGAATGTTTCTGTGTGTATTTCATCCCCAGTTCGCTGTGAAAATCTGTCTTGTGCAGATTTTTACAAAAATATTCCACATACGAAAAGGGGAGTACACTTGAATTCTCTGGAAATTGTGCGGAATAGCTTCGTGTTTGGACCGTGGAAATCTATTGCTGGGTGTGTGCTTGATGCTTTGGGACCTGCGTTGTGTGACAGCATGTATTTCTCTTCTTCTTACATGCTCTGAGAAATCCAAAGCGATGCTGTGCTCTGGAGTTTGAGCGCTTGTTTATCTGCAGACAGAAAGAAGCAGCCGTGGTGGCCCCAAACAGATGGAAGCCACAGCCCGCGTACATCAGCCGGCTCACGCGTGGCTTGTCCCACTGCTGGGCTCTTCTCTTGGGCTGTGACTGGTCACTCCTCACATTTTCGTAGCGAGATCTGAGGTTCCCATCAAGTGTGCTCACTCCTTCTGGGAAAAGAGCTTCCATTACTGCCTCCCTGTGGGATAGGAAGAGTGGTTCTTTCTTTAGGGCAGCTGGGGTCCTGCCCGTCTCAATAACAAAATGACATTTTGAGCAAAGTGCGTCTTGTTTTCGTTTGCTCGGCTCTGCCAGCACATGCAATGAGTGTGTGAGGGTTGAGGGAGATGTGGCTGGTGGCGGAGGAAGAAGCGTTATAGGAAGATGTAGGTGGGGGAATGTGGAAGTACTCGAGCAAGAGGATGTTTTGGGGCTTGTTACAGGAGGAGGAGTGAGGTCTGAGGGTGTCTTATCATAGAAGGTGGGTGGCTACAGCCTGGTGTTGGTAAGCAGGGGTCTTTGATAGCCTGCGTACCTGCTTGAGGTTGATTCTGTGGGTTTGCATCCCACTAAAACACAAACTTCCGTCTCGCCCTTGCTTCCCCTAGCTTTGAGAGATATGCAAGTTGTGCAGTGAACTAATTTCCGTCAAGTGTGGGTTGATTAACTTGAACCTCAGGCTACCAGACGTACAGGTCGGAAGCCTACCACAGCATGGGATTTTTAACAATAATCTGTCTCCTCCAGAAGGATGAAAGCCTGAGATTACTTTGGGGCTTTTAAAAAATTGCCAGATGCAATGAGGAATCCTTTTTTTTAAGGGGTCCTCCAGTGAAAGACAGAGAGTGTATCTCAAACAGCCCCAGTAGCGTAAACCTTGACAGAAATGCTGTGCTGCGTTTGACTATTCACAAATGGCAAAATGACCCAGAGAAAACAGAATTGTAATTACTTTTACTCTGAGGTCAAGACAGTCAAACAGGGTTACAGCCTGGAGAACCCTGTTCCAGTTTCCCAAGGCAAAAGGGAAGGTGAAAGTGTGGGTGGTGCAGGAGTACCGATCTAAGCAGAGCTTGCTTCACTTAAGAACTGTCACAGTGGATCAAATCTAAGGTCCAACCATTAGAGCATTATGAATTTAGGCATGGGAAGGGAAGAGGGTTGATAAACAAAATATTAGAGACAGTACAAGCCCAGGGTTATTCTTCCTTTGGCCTGTCCCCTCCAGGTTCTGTTGGAAAATTCCCTCTATACTGTGAGATAACCAGTGAGTTAGGGAGGACGAAAGTATTGGGCAACTTGATGTTGTTCTGCTAACAGCTTGGGTGGGTACTTCATATCTGACTGGGATGTGGCACCAGGTAGAAATCCTCAGCAGAAGGAAGCACTTTGGCCATTGCTGTGTGTTTTGTCTGTGCTGCTCAGTGAGCCGCGGATGTTTGCTGCTTTTGTTGCCATTGGGGAAGGCTGAGGTAGCAGATATTCTAGAAACTTGCTGATTTTATTGTTAATGAGCAGAGACGAGGCAAGCTTGTTTTGCTTTATTCAAACTGGTAAACCTTACCTCCTCCCCCTTTTACTTCCCTCCCTCTTAAGGCACATGGGTGGTTTTGTGGTCTCTGTATCCGGTTGCTGCGTGATACAGCTGTGTGCGCGGAGGAAGCAGGACAGATAAAACATAGCTCATACTTCTGGGAATCCTTACCTCACTGCTGATGGGGAAGCGTTGTGCTCCCGGGCACTGGCAGATAAGATGCTGGGCTGCTTGTCGTGCTGAAGCATAGGGCTGGCTCACAAGAAGCTGCCGGCAGGACTTCATGATTTGGGAGACCCAGATCTTCAGCAGCAGTTTTTCTCTACGTTTGTGCTCTATCTCACAGCTGCTAAGCCATATTTTAAGCTGTGAATGAGGAAATTTTGTACTGGTTTCAAGGACCGAGGACAAGTGACGCTTACAATTGCTCAGGGCACGTGCAGAGCTGAATTTGGAACCGCTGAAGAGTCAGGCTGGCAGGAGGCTGCAGCAGCAGGTACGAGCCGTGGCTGCATGAGCACCCTCTGGGCTGTGCTACTGGGACATTTCTCTACTGACCTGGTGGAAAAATTCTGGTAAGTGAGAGAGGATTTAGGTGAGCTGCTTTCTCTGCTGAGGTGATTGGAGAGAATTATAGTGCCACTTAATCTGCCTCTTGCTGGTTGCTAATGGGAACAGCTGCAAGTTCTTCCTGCACATGGGGACACCGCACTTTGCTGCCCGTCATCTGAGGACGAAACTGGAGTTTTATGCTGCTGTAACATTCTGCTTGTGGGCAAATGGATGGTGCATGAGGGTTTCTCTGACTTTGGTGTTACATGCCTTTAAGAAAGAAAACGTACCTGGTAGTGTTCATATTCTTTTTCTCTTTGCATTCTGTGGATGTACTGAGAACAAGTTCTAGAGCCTTGCCAAGTGAAAGGGTGTGGATGGAATTAACAAGCCTGTTTTGATCACCTCAGCCTTAGATTTCATTTTTCTTGTGCTTGTAGAGGTGAGATATGCAGTGGAGTATTATTTGTTTGTGTGTGTAAAAATGCATGTGTACTCAGAACCAGCAACACCTCTTTCTGCCTCTTGCAGACTGGAACTGAGCTCTGAAGAAACAAGGTGAAGCTTGGAGCATGTGTGGCCTGAGGATTGCCTTGCGAAGCCAGGGTAGGGATTCATTGTTTCTGTTGGCTGCTTGGTTGCAGATGAGCTACTGGGACAAGTGCCTTTGTTCTCAAGTGAAGACAATTCTTTAATTTCTTTGTCAAATGCTTATGTAGGTGTTAATCACAATCTAGAGGAGAAAAGGTTGCATTGAGATAGAAGCAAATGCTGTAGCAAGAACGCCTCGGTGGCTTAAAGGCATTGGACTGGAGATTTGTGAAAGACGTGTTTTTTCCTGAGTTATGAGGATATGCTAACCTTCCTTTCTTTGGGCTCTATAGAGCCCAGCACAGATCAGAGGAGATATTATGCATTCAGCAGCCACAGACTTTTCTCCCTTTTGTTGCAGGTGGTAGCTAAGAAGCGAGCAGGATGCCCCCAGGCATTTATTGCCCTATGGAATTCTGGTCCAAGGGGGAAAACCAAAACATCCAGGTGGACTTTCTGCTACCCACAGGCATATACTTAAACCTCTCTGTGTCCTGCAATGCCAGCTTGGGCACCATCAAGCAGGTAAAAGCCTTGTTCCATGGTCTTACCTGTAGTCCCCAGAAGAAGGGGTCTGTTCTTGAGGAGCACCTGGGGAAACGTGTTGGGTCTTAACTCAGTGCAAGTTGGGTTTCTTCTGCATTGCTCTGAGGCAGTTTCCTGTGTCTCAGTGAGAGTCTGTTCCCTGTGACAGCCTCTGCAGTCCCCTAAAGCCATGTCAGCAGGTAAAAGCCTTGTTCCATGGTCTTACCTGTAGTCCCCAGAAGAAGGGGTCTGTTCTTGAGGAGCACCTGGGGAAACGTGTTGGGTCTTAACTCAGTGCAAGTTGGGTTTCTTCTGCATTGCTCTGAGGCAGTTTCCTGTGTCTCAGTGAGAGTCTGTTCCCTGTGACAGCCTCTGCAGTCCCCTAAAGCCATGTCTAGCTGCTGGGGCTGCCAGCAGCGGGGTGCTGGAGCTGGTAGCAGTGGTGTCAGGCTCCTTCCTCTGGGTTATGTGTCCAACCATGGCTTGTTACTGGGGCAAGTTACTTAACCCAATTTTGCTTCTAGTGGGAGCAATATATCTGTTTCACATGGCTACCAGTCAGCAGGTACTTACTGTGAGGTATTCAGTGTGGGTGATTTAAATACTTGGATCGAGGGATGTACTTTTTGAAACAAGTGGCAAGTGCGAAACGGGAAGTCAATTAAAGGCATTTGCAAAGAAATCTGCCAAGTGGTTCAGCATGAATTGGAGCCCCCAGCCCTGGCTGAGAAGCAGCCTGTGATTGCAGGTCCAGTAATTGCCGTGAGAAGGTCTGACTGTGTGTTGCTTTGCTAAAAAGTGTATCTCAGGAGAGCGAGGTGGTGGGGGGACAGTAAGAGGAAGATGCAGTGGTGTTTTCACCCTTCTTTTGGCCCAGGTGGTGTGGAAGCACGCGCAGTATGAGCCGCTGTACCACATGCTCAGTGACCCCGAGGCCTACGTCTTCACCTGCATCAACCAGACAGCAGAGCAGCAAGAGCTGGAGGATGAGCAACGGCGGCTTTGTGACATCCAGCCCTTCCTACCAGTCCTGCGGCTCGTGGCTCGAGAAGGAGACAGAGTCAAGAAGGTTATTAACTCCCAGATCAGCCTCCTCATTGGAAAAGGTCAGTTTCCCCATCACTGGTATTGCCAGGAGCGTGGCAGCGTGTTGGCTGGAGGTGACAAATGCTTCTGTCCCAGACAGCTTTGCTGCGTGCAGGATAGTGATGGGGCCCTGCTTTAGCAGGCGATGGAGTTAGCCACTTTGGTCTCTGGTGGATCTGGAGAGGGACCAGGAAGGTGTTCTTCCCTGCTGGCAGAGGGCTGTTGAGTTGGTGCAGTTGTATGTAGTAAATAAGTGATTGCTAATAGCTTGGCTAACGCTTCTCCTTCTAGCCAGATATGAAGCGTGTGTTTAGGCAGACTGTTTCACAGACAGTTGATTATCAAAGGCTCTTTTCCCCCATTGGGTGCTTATTTTGCCTTTCTCCTTTACTTTCCACTTAGGATTGCATGAGTTTGACTCTGTGCAGGATCCAGAGGTGAATGATTTCCGCACCAAGATGTGCCAGTTCTGTGAGGAGAGAGCAGCAAAGCGGCAGCAGCTCAGCTGGGCGGCTTGGATGGAGTACAACTTCCCCCTGCAGCTGGAGCCCATGGCCAAAGGCCTTGGGACTGGCCCTCTACACATGCCCAGCAAGAACATCTTTGTCAACGTCAAGTTTCAGTCTGGCGGGGTAAAGCACACTCTTTTCTGTGACGATGGTTAACTGAAACCAGTGCTTTCCCTTTGGGAACCTTTGGGCATTTAGAGACAGAATAATGTGTGTGTGGACAGTGTTTCTGTGAGGTCAGTGTTCATCTTCATTCCCCAGATTCCTTTGCCTGTGGAGAAGGTTGTGAGGGAGACTGAGCCTCCAGCCAAGGGAGCTGCTCGCCTTCCTGAACATGTCTTGCATGTACTGGTTAGCTGATAGCTGAGGTTCCTGCATGAAAGCTTTTTGGTTTTGGATAGGAGAGGAGCACAGAATCCAACATGTGCCTTTCCTTTTGAAGACCAAGAGTCTGCTCAGCTCATGCTCAGCAAATGCTGCTTGCAGGCATCGGTCTGTGTTGTCTGTGGGACCCTTGGTAATGATGTTTTTGCATGTTGTGCTTGGACATCAAGCAGGAGCCACCGCCAGGGCAGTGTATTTGAGCGTGGTGGCCATAGCCACCCTCTGCCTTGGTGGTGGAGTGACAGTGGGGAGATTTTTATTGGCTAGCAACCACATGAACTGGTGGTTCTGCTTAAACAAGTTCCTGATTTCCAGCCTTCTGCTTGCACTGCTGAAATACACTTCTGCCTGGTTTGGTAAACATCCCTACTTACTTGCTAACGTGTGTGTGTAATTTTGCCTGTTCTTCTCCTTATTGTCAGTAACAGGAATGTCTTTACCTCTCTGCTGAGCTCCTGCTGCTCACTGTGCTGATTTCAGCCCTTTGCTGGCGTTTGACGGTGTGTGCTGTGTTGTTGGGATTGCAGGAGAGCTTCACTTTCCAGATCTCCCCGAAGGAGTTCCCCATCACATTAATGAGCTACGCTATCAAGAAGCAGGCTACTGTCTTCCGCCACGAGACAGTGGAGAACCCAGAGGATTACACTCTGCAGGTGAATGGGAAATGTGAATATCTCTATGGGAACTACCCCCTGTACCAGTTCCAGGTGAGCCTTGTGTCTTGCTTTTATCACTTAGCCTGTTCCCAAAGGGTCTCCTCTTGCTGGGAGAGTGGATTGAGATGTGTTTTCCTCTCTCAGTGGGGCAGTGCTGTTTATGGGAGGGCAACGCGTTGATGGCAGGACCTGGATGCTGCTTAGGAAAGGGATGCTTCTAACAGATCCTTACATTTTGACTCTGTCCTCTCTTTGCAGTATATTCGCAGCTGCCTGCACCGAGGCCTGACGCCCCACCTGACCATGGTACACTCCTCCACTATCATTGCCATGAGAGACGAGCAAACCAACTGTATTGCCAGTCCCCCAAAGATGGTTGCCAAGCCTCCCCCGCTCCCTAAGAAAAAGGTAAAAGGGGACAGTGACCCAGGGGGGTCACGTTCAGCTCATCTGTTGATGGAAATGCTGATCTCGTCTGGGAAGAGCAGCTGGTTCTCCCTGCCACTCTGAGGACAGGTTCCTAGCGGGGAAACGAGATCAGGGAATTTCCAGTCGGGCTTTCAGCTCCCTCCTCAACTTCCCTGGTTGTCACAGACTTCATGCTGCCCACCTGCAAAGCAGTGCCGCTTTCTGTTGTAGCAAAAATTATGGGATAAGAGATGGTCTGGCGCTGGCTTGAGAAGTCTTTGTAGCATGTGTTTCTGACTGGAACCCTTTTCTCTTTTTAGCCAAACTATGGTTCTCTCTGGTCCTTGGAGCAGTCTTTCTACATCGAGCTGGTGCAAGGCAGCAAGGTCAATGCAGATGAGAGGATGAAGGTAGGTACTGACTCTCCTTGGGGTTTTGGTTTTGTGTTTTGGCTTTCCCGGTTGTATCTGCCCTGTTCGTGTGGTGAGGAAAGCCAAGGCCGACAGCGTGATCTCACGTGATCCTCCATTGCACTTCATTCAGCCCGTGGGCTGTTCCTAAACTGCAGCACAACAGGAAGGGGAAGGGAACTTGCTAGCCAGCAGCCCGGCAGTGTGTTCCTGGGAACACTCCCCTGCAGAAGGTTCTGGGCAGCAAACAGAGCTGCTGCGCCGTGGCAGTTCTGCTCAGCAGCGGTGTGGAGTGACAGGGAAGTCTGCACAAAGCAGAGGAGGGGAAATCCAGCTCTGAGAAGAGAGGATGATGGGAAAGTGGTAAAATTAAGACAGATTTGCAAGGTGTTTCCCATGAAGGGGGAGCAGGGGAATGGCTGCCCTTTGGGGCTGAGCTTTTTGCATGTGCCCTCTGCCCACGGTGTTGATTTGCCTTCTCTTTGGCACAAGCACTTGCCCAGCTCTTGGTGCCGGCCCTGCTTTTGTGGCATCTCAGGGGGCAAGGTTTGGCGAGTATTTCATAGACTCGTAGAATCACTTTGGTTGGAAAAGACCTTTAAGATCAAGGCCAACCATTATCTAACTCTACCAGGCCCACTTCTAACCCATGTGAAACCTGTAATACTCTTACCAGTGGATTACTCAAGCACTTTGCAATGATTAAGGAGCTCTTGCTTCTCCGCATGAAGTAAAAAGATGATAATGCCCTTATAGAATTTGAGTAAAGAGAAGGATTAAGGAACTTAATGTCTGAATGAATTGGGAAAGCGACAGGAGTAGGGCATCCCCTTTCCCATTCCTTTTCTAGTCACATGTCTTCAGCAAACAAGTCAAATCCCTGTGGGTTCATGGTTTTCTTTTATTTCTCCTTCCCCAGCTGGTGGTACAGGCAGGTCTCTTTCATGGCAATGAGATGTTGTGCAAGACCGTGTCAAGCTCTGAAGTGAATGTATGTTCAGAGCCAGTGTGGAAGCAGAGGCTGGATTTTGATATCAACATCTGTGACCTCCCCCGTATGGCACGGCTCTGCTTTGCCCTCTATGCTGTCATCGAGAAGGCAAAGAAGGCACGTTCCACCAAAAAGAAGTCCAAGAAAGCTGTAAGTAAAGCCAGCCTGGGTCTGAGCCCGGCTTGCCAGTGCTGGAGGGTGCAGGACATCATTCTGAACCAAATGCCCTTTGCTGTTAGAAGAAGACTTTATTAATAAAAGAGCTGCCTGTAGGAAAGGTGGTTTAAATGTAATTTTTTGTCCAGAAACGCCATTAAGAAATATACCCAGCATCTGAATGCATGTCCAGAGGAATCGTTTGAGTCTGTTTTGCTGTTCCGCAACTTCCTTGTTTTGTAATTGAGGTTAAACCATCTTTTGCTGTGTTGCATCTTCTTTCTAGTAACGTTTTGCATGCAAATCCCCCGTGGAGCCAATTAACAGCTAAGAAGGGGAAAGAAATGAGGAATGTAAACACTGGCTGCAGCAAAGGTTTAGCTGATGTAAAGTGAAATTGCAGAATCTTCAAGGTTACTGTTTGGATGCTGCAAACTGAGGATAGAAATCATAGAAAGTGTAAAATCACTTTGGAAGCTCTTGCTTTGAGCTTCTCAATCAGAGATGTAGTGATATTTCTCACTTTCATCACCTCTATTCCAAAACTTCTAGCCTATTAATAATTCAGTAACTTAAAAGTAGATCTTAGTGCAGCCTGTAATTGAATTCCTGGTTTCCCAATGTTGTGACTTCAGCATGATGCCTCTAGCTCTTCTCATGCAAAGAATTTTCTTTATGAGCAACAAAAAGTTACCATGCTTTAAAGAGAGGATTACTCATGCCATCTTTACTGGAGCTAAGAGAAGTGACGGGCTGATAAACGTGATCGCAGAAGATGTTAGTTGTGCCAGCTCCTTTTTGCTGCTGGGACATTCACTGAGCTTTCTTGTGCTGACATCAATGGGGTTCTTGGGGTTACAGTACATTAATGTTTGAGGGGCAACAGGCAGCACCCCAGCCCTGCTTGTGTGGATCCATTTCTGAGTCGTAGACTTCGTACTGGGAACATTTTGAGGCCAGGACCAGGATCAACCCTTTTATTGTTATTTTCTTACTTAAGAGTAGCAGAAGTCTAGCTCCTGCGGAAGGTTTTTGTTGCACAGAATATCTGATTCATCCACAGGCTGCATTTTTGTGGTCACACTGGAACAATTTTCAGTTTTGAAGCAGTCAGAAGGAAATCTTAATATCTTGACAAAACAAAACGAGCCTGGTTAGCTGAGTTAAGAGTTCGTGTGTTCTGGTGAGCTCTCAGTATAAAATCACAATATTTGCTGGAGCTGAGCTCTGCAGAAATGGGTTTTTCCATATGGTCAGCTGCAGCTCTGAGGTACCCAGATCTCCTTTCAAATGACTGGTTAGAGGAGGTTACAGTCAGAGTGCACCCTGATTTTTGGTTTCGATTAATAATGTTTTTGCTTGCTTTGCTGACGGCACTCAGAGGTTAATTACATGCATGTCGTTTGTCTATGCAGACTGTCCAGAGCAGATAGGTGGGACTAAATCATTTACTACCACAAAAACAGGCATGCTTGCAGGCTGACTGGGATGAGTCAGAGAGTTAATGTCACCCAGAGGGTCAGCTCTCAGTGGTTCTGTAATTCATGCAGGGGATATTTCTGTCCTTACAGTGCTGAATCGTTGCTTTGCTGGACCTTACCCACCAAAAAATCTTGCCTTGTGTTTTGGCAGGCTCTGTGCTGTGGTTTGATGTTATTTACTCGGTTAGAAAAGGTTATTGCTGGCAGTGGTGTTTTGTTTGACTTTTTCTTATGATCTAGAAGCTCTTGTCTCAAATGAGGTTTTATAGATACTTAGTCTGATCAAATCAACTCAAAGGTTTACGAGAGGCCAATTGGAAGTGATTCATTTTGTTGCATTAGAGGAAAATGCTGACTTTGCTACCTCCACCAAGTCTGTTGGTGTACCTTCAGGGTCAGCCCGATACATTCTCTAGAATGTCTCTGTGGAATAAGAAAACCTCTCACCGTGGTTCCCTTCAAACGTTGCACTGTTTGTGGGTGTGTCTCACTAGAATTTTGCCTCGCAGCCTCTTCGCAGGTCGGTTTCTGTGCCAAGTGTGTTCTTGAGCCTTGATGTTTTCTGAGACACTGAGTGAAGTGCTGGTGTTGCTGAAGCTGTTACATGAAGTCAGCTGTTCCATTTGGGGAACCTGACTGCAGGAAATCTGAGGTCACTTGTGGAATATGTCTGTCTGCTCTGGTGCCAGGGAGAGCTGGGTTAGAGCAGGGAGATGGGTTCTCTTCCTTGGCCACATCCCAGTCAGTTTACTTGCTGGACTCTCCCCCTCCAGAATTAAACTGGTTTGTGTGACTGCGCTGGGCTTGTGGGTTATATTTTTTGGGGGGATGAGGTAGTGTGATGGGGGATTGGCAGCATAAAGTTTGATTTCTGTAGATCGTGTTTATTGTTGTACAAAGGAGCCAAGCGTTTTCTTGCCGTTAGCAGACGTGTCTGGTGTTCTTTGCCTGGTTTTCTGAAGTCATACTAACTCTGTGTTCCCTGTTTCAAAATTAAGGTTCTTCTCCCTCCCCTCAAACTGTGAAATACATGAAATATGTATGTCATAGCTCCTTCAAGTATCACTGGGTGTTGAGTTGCGAGGCCTTACTGGAAGCTTAGAGATTCTTCAGCTGTGCAAAATATCGGGTGATGAAGCTTTAGACATGTTTGTGAGGACTGTTCGGCGCTATTCAGCACTACCCAAAAGACCCCATGTTTTGGCAAAATATTTTTATCTGATGCTTTGCGTGGGGATATCTCTCTTCCTTGTTAGCTCCTCTCTTCTCTTCATCCAGCTTTTGCAGTACAGCACCTAAATGAGCTTCTTTCTTTGCTTTGCAGGACTGCCCAATCGCCTGGGTGAACGTCATGCTCTTTGACTATAAGGACCAGCTGAAAACAGGGGAATGCTGCTTGCACATGTGGTCCTCCTTTCCAGGTGTGTCACCAGAAAGAGCTGTCATATTGTTTTGCATCCTTAGCCCCTATCACAAAGACAGGGGACTCTCTGCTTTCTACATCGCTGTCCGGGAGTTGTAGGAGAAGCCATAGTAGTTCAGGTTCCCACTCCAGATTGTGATGGCATCCAGAGCCATTTTGAGGTGAAGGCCTTGTTTTGCGTGGCGTGGCCTGTACAATGAAAGAGCTTGCCGCTGTCCTAAAGATGTCGTGTACACTTCGTTTGTGAGGGGTTGGGAAAATTGAGTGAGCTGCTCAGGGCCAGGCAACATCCCGTGACAGAGCTGGAAGCAGTCTGTGCTCTGCTTTCTGTACCAAAGCTTCAGAAGGTTTGGGTTCATGGTTTTACGCACTTTGTTTTTCAGATGAGAAAGGGGAACTTCTGAACCCTATGGGCACGGTGCAATGCAACCCCAACACAGAAAGTGCAGCAGCCTTGGTCATCTGCTTCCCCAGCGTTGCATCACACCCTGTGTATTACCCATCATTTGAGCAGGTAGGGGACACGGACACTTTATTTTGGGGAGGCACAGAAATTCCCTAAGCTCTGCTGGTGCGGGAGCACACAGTGTCACTGTCTTATGGGCAGCTGTCGACAGGGCCAGGTACAAGCAAACTCGATGAACAGATATTGTTAATTGAAAATTTGACCTTTTTCTCATAACTAATGGACCTTAGAGTGAATGCTTTTCCAGGCTCTGAATTCCTGAGATAAAGCTGCTCTCGTAGATGAGCATTTGTTTAAAAAAAAAGAAAGTGTGTAACTGAGCCACCTTTAAAGTGCAGGCAGCATTAGGCTCTGATGGAAGGAAGAGGAATAAAAGGGGAAATGAGTGAAAGTAGACAACTCCCTCCTTTACAGCACAGAGTGATAACATGCTGTGCAGCGTGGGGATTTTCCATCTGTCACTGCAACTGGCCAGACACTTAAAGTGGAAGAAGAAATGTGCCTGTTACAGGAGAGAAATAAGATCTGCTCTTTCAGGGACATACATTCATGCACTCCCATTATGCACATTCTGGTTCAGAATGGGGTTCTGAACCCATTTCATGGGTCCTGCCGGTGTGCGAGGTGGCTTGGGCAGCGCCGGCTGCTCGGCAAACGTGTGAAGAATCAGTTACAGCTCCTGTTAGCCTGGAGCTCGGTGACCCAGAGCCCCTCTTCGCAAGCTCTATGAGTGTGCCCATGTGCCCTTTGGAGTGGAAAGAATGCATCCCTTCATTCTTGTTACCACCAGGGCAGGGTCTTTATGGGCAGTTAGGTTACACCCCTGCGCAAGGGCATCCTGCTGAGTACGTTTGGCCTGTGCAAGGTGTGATTCCTTTCTCCAGAGGTGGCAAGTGACTGATCTCTAATGCAGCATAAATGCCTGAAGTGACGGTGAGCTAGAAGTACAGAGGAAATGAGGAGACTTTCTTAGACTCTCTTTATTTGTTTCCCAGCTGCTGGAGCTGGGGAGGAATGGAGAACCACCCCGTGCTGTGCCAGAAGATCCTGAGGAGGTGAGTCTTCTGGCATCAGTTTTTCAGCTACATACAGGCTATGTGCAAGCCTGGTTTCATAGATCAAGTTAGATATTTCCATCTTGCCCCCAACCAATTTTTTTTTCACCAAATTGGGTCATGCTGTAGTGCTACAGGGTCTCTCTGGACTGAGCAAGTCCTATGGGTTGAGACTGAGCCCCGTGTATGCTCTTCCCTCTGATTTCCATGAGCAGAAGCTGCAACTGAAGGAGATCCTGGAGCGGAGGAGCCACACTGAACTATACGAGCATGAGAAAGATTTGGTGTGGAAGATGAGATATGATATCCGTGACCAGTACCCACAAGCTTTGGCAAAGCTGCTTATCATCACCAAATGGAACAAGCACGAAGATGTTGCCCAGGTGAGGATGCTGGCAGCCAGAGCTCCCTTTTTGATCAGTCTGTCAGTGTCTGCAGTCCTGTGTTGTGTTTGGGAGGCCAACTTACTCTGGGACGTTTCAGAGTGCCCCTGTGCAGGTACGTTTGGCGTCACTGAAGCTGAGGAAGATTTTTTCTGTTCTCAGGTGGTCGCTGCGAACATGTGCCGAGTGGTACTCAGCTGAGGTTTGGCTCTTCTGGGCTCCGTTTGGCTCCTTGTGGTGTCCCAGACTCAACAGGGTGTTGCTTATTCCCTATAGAAACTTGAGGGATCTAAAAAAAATATCTATTTGATTCACGTCAGAAATAGGATCTGGATTGGATACTCTTAACTGATGGAGAGACCCCCTCAGGGGGTCAGTAAATCTCTCCCACTAAGCACGTCAGACATCAGTTTGAGATGGCGTCTGTGCTGCTCATCCCTCTTTACTTCAAGAGCTTTGACAGAACCTTCTAAAGTTCCCTTTCTAGTCGACATTATTATGCTGCAGAAAAGCGCCTTTTCCAAAGAGCTTATTCCACTAATTGTGGCACAGCAGAAGGAACCCTGCTGTGGGCTGGGATGGTTTCTCCTGTCAGCCTTCCTAGGAAGTTTGGGCTGATGGTTTTTGGCCTAGTGTCTGCAAACTGGCTCTGACGTAGCTATGAATAGTGACCCCCCACAAAGGAGCTGCTCTTCATCAGCAGAATTTTAGAGTTATATCCATTGTCATAGAAACCTTGCTCCATTTTCTTTTTTTCCTTTACAGATGATTTCCCTACTTCAGACTTGGCCAGAGTTGCCTGTCCTAAATGCCTTGGAGCTGCTGGATTTCAGCTTTCCCGACCGTTATGTTGGTTCCTTTGCTATCAACTCGTTAAAGAAGTTGACGTAAGTGTTATCCACAAGGGATAGGCAGAGCCCCTTTCTATTTATGTTTAGGGCTGCTGAGGGGGACTGTGAACAAGGCTGACAGTCTTGTCTTTACAGTTTTTGCAAGTACACTGCTTGCAGTAAAGATAAGGTTGTCTTATTTTTCCTTTCTTCTGCAGAGATCATGAATTGTTCCAATACCTGCTACAGCTTGTCCAGGTGCTTAAGTATGAGTCCTACTTAGACTGTGAATTAACTAAGTTCCTGCTGGACAGGGCGTTATCCAACCGCAAGATTGGCCACTTCCTCTTCTGGCACCTGAGGTAAAGAGCAAATGTTTCAGGCTTTTTCTCAGTAATCCAGTGAAACCAGCATTTACCAGTTTCCACGTTGCTCTGTGAAGTGAGGCAGCAGGCAGGCCTGTATGGAGAGATGCCAGGGTATTTATTTAAAGGCTACTGGCTGTCTTTTAGCGAGTGTCTTTCATCAAAGCAGTGGTGGGATTTCCTGGCTGTGATTAGCAAAACCCAGGAACTGCTGTCTTGTACTTTAGGAGACTGAAAAAGGATTATTCCAGGAGGACACAAAATATTTTTTGTTTGCTTGTTATTTTTTTTCTGTTGTGGTGGTGTTTGGATTAGGTTCTGTTTTTGGAATTCATATATATGTAAACATGCCCAAGAGTTGAAATTTATTTGAGATCCGTGGCCACCTGCCAGTTCTGAGCCATACGCTCTAAGCTGTGCTTGCTCCTTAAGTAATGTTCTAAAGGAGTGGTTAGCAATTTAATCATCCAGAAAGATGTCTCATCACTTCAAGCAACGGTTTTCTACATCACTGTCTGGGGTGGGTGCATTTTTTTCCCCTTCCCAGTACATAGAGAGAATCTAAACAGCAGCTGATATTCTGCAGCCTCCTTCTCCTCCCTCCTTGTGCTGCCATGAATGGGGAGAATTTGTGACTCACTGCAGTGAGTCAGAGCTGCTTTAACCTCCCTGCTTCCCCCTAGGTCGGAAATGCACGTTCCTGCAGTTGCCTTGAGGTTTGGCCTGATCCTGGAAGCATACTGCAGAGGCAGCACCCATCATATGAAAGTTTTGATGAAACAGGTAAAAATTGCTTCTAACCATCTTCTTCCCTCTTGCTTGAAGCTGATTCTCAGCTGTTAGCTTTCCCAACTTAGTGTTATCAGTAACACAAAAAAAAAAACAAACAACACCCAAACCTTTTAACTGCTCTGTTGGTTTTGGCATAACCTATTCAGAGCCTGGAGTTCCCCATCACATGTGACATTGCTCATTTCTTACCCACATGTGTCCCAAATGACACTCTGTGTGTAGAATGGTTTGAAATGTTCAACGAGCACTGCTGTTGCCACTTGGTGCTGTCTGACTGGGAGCAGTGCAGCCTTTCCTTCAGTTGTGGTGTGGAGGTCATCCTGCTATTTACCCACTCTAAAATATCTTTAATTAGCTATCAAGGATCACTGGGCCTAATTCAGAAGTGAGGGACTTGTGAAGTTGTATCTAAGATGTGCCCACAACCCGGTGCTGCTGCTGGTTTTAGGAGCGTTTGTGCCCAGCAGAACATCCTAATTGATTATGGATCTCCCTCATGCAGCCACTACTGAATTTGTTTTGTTGCAATGTGTGAAATGGCCACAAGTTAAAGAGAAGGTAAGAGGTAACAGGAAGGTTTAGGTTTCACAGTAGATTTTAATAGTTTTTGAATTTTCTCCAGGAATCTCTTATTTGTTAACTTTGTTCCATCCCTCCTTTTCCTCAGGGAGAAGCACTCAACAAGATGAAAGCTCTGAATGACTTTGTTAAAGTGAGTTCTCAGAAGGCCACCAAGCCTCAAACCAAGGAGATGATGCATGTGTGCATGAAGCAGGAAACTTATCTTGAAGCACTTTCCCACCTCCAGTCCCCCCTGAACCCCAACATTATCCTCACTGAAGTTTGGTAAGGAAGATAGCTGCCTCTCTGAATTTGTGCCGCAGGCTTTGCTCAGCAGTAGAGCAAGGCTTCTGCTTACCCCAGGATCCTCTTTTCTCATGCAGTTCGCCTGTCCGTTAGCATTTGTAGGTGCTGTTGAATTTGCAGCTTAGGTGGCCACTTTTTTAATAGATGGACATGCTGATGTGTGATATTTCTGTCTCCTTCAGTGTGGATCAGTGCACCTTTATGGACTCCAAAATGAAACCTTTATGGATTGTGTTTAATAATGAAGAGACTGGTGGAGGTGGAGTGGGTATTATTTTTAAAAATGGAGATGGTAAGTCTTTACAGGATATGTTTTCACAGTCTCACATATTTATTGTGGTGAGTGGGCCTAAATATGGACCATTAAGATGACAGGTAAATGAGGACCATCAGTGGGTTTGAGTTTTTGGACAGTAATCTGGAGACATAATATTTCCGTATTTCACTTGCTGCCCTCTTTATTAAGATTTTAGCACAGTAGGAGCTGGATACCCTTGCACAGTAAAAAACCCCTAAACCTGCTGTGAGGTCTGACAGAGCTGCAGCTGCCCAGGCCTTGTAGGGTTGGGGTGGGTGCTGCTCACTGTTGTGTCCAGGCAGATGTTTTCTAAAGGGCCATGTGGACTCCTGTGGGAAGAGCTTTAGCAAAGTGAAGTAGCGTATACCCCATTAGTATAATCCTGTCTGAGTGGAGGTATCGAGTACGGTGGTTTTACGCTCTTACCGCACTAGTAGACGTTGCTCTCTGCTGATGTTCTTCACTAGCCAGCCCTGGCAAGTGGCAAAGGCCTCTCCAGCAGCCTGCTGCAGGGGCAGAGCAAGGGCTGCCTGCAAGAGCACAAGAGGAAGGGAGAATAGGAGGTACTTACGACCCTTTTTTCCTTTGTTATGCTGCCCAGATCTTCGTCAGGACATGCTGACTCTGCAGATGATCCAGTTGATGGACATCCTGTGGAAGCAAGAGGGTCTGGACCTGAGGTGAGCAATGAGCACACAGTTGTCCTACCACGTTGATAAGTCACGCTTGGCGAGGCCATTTCGTCTGCAAGTTTATTGTGTCCCCGACAGGTCTGTCTAGTGTTCTGTGAGCAGCTAGTTGGGTTTTGTGGTGCTGAGGAGTAGAAATGTAGAATAGATGCAAAAGATGAGGGAAAGCTTAAAAGTCAACACAACCCAGTTCTGGGCAAGATTTCAGTGGAAGGGTTTTTTTCATCTCTGCAGGATGACCCCTTATGGCTGCCTCTCCACAGGAGACAAGACTGGACTGATAGAAGTAGTCATGCACTCAGACACCATTGCCAACATCCAGCTGAACAAGAGCAACATGGTGGCCACTGCGGCCTTCAACAAGGATGCGCTGCTGAACTGGCTCAAGTCCAAGAACCCAGGGTAAGTGGGCTTAACCTCTTACTGCTGCTTTACCGCTTCCTTCCATCTAGAGACGTTTCTTTTGCTCAGTCTTTTCCTTCAGTTACGCACGTTTCCAAGCTGCCCCACGATTTCTGCGGCTGCTTCAGTGTCTGGTGCCCGGGAGGGGATCATGTGGATCTATGTGGGTCTTGAGCAGAAACGGAACCGTCTGGTTTACTATTTGCAAGTTTTTTTTGATCTTTGATAGCTTAAGGTAGCGCTCTCCACAGGCTGGATCAAAACTTTGATCTTCCCATTGGTCTGCATTTGCAGACAATTTTAGGTCTTTTTCCAGAGATAGTCAGCATGGGGGCAGCTAGAAAAGGGGGCAGAAGTAATGCCAGAATTAGGAGGTGAAAAAAAGCAGGCAGCACAAAAGCTGTGTAGCTTGGGGTTTTACTAGACATGGAGACAGAGAGCAGCAATACAGCCATGATATTCTGGTGTAACAGGACACCAATAGGAATCATTCTAGGAGCCCATTATTCACCTTTTGGATTTGTGGAGATCTAGGAATGAGTTAATTTGGTGGAGACTAAAACGTTTTTGTTGAGTTTGTGGACACAACCTTATCTGGACCTCTCCAGTTACGGACAGTTGTTATCATAGCTGGGTTTTTTTAAGCAGGGATGGGAGTACTTTCTCTGGAGAGCACCACAGAAATTCAAACATGCGATTCCCTTCTCCTGCAGGTTTGCATGGGGGAAGCAATAAAAACAAACTTCCCCGGTGGTGAAGTACTGGTGTTCAAAGTAAAATTCTCTTTCAATCTTTTTTTTACCCTCTTCAGTGACGCTCTAGAACAAGCTATAGAGGAGTTCACTCTT